GGAGATCATCGTTACCTCGGATGCTTCCAATTACGGTATGGGTACCGTTATTTCCCACCTTTTTCAGCACGGAGGAGAGAAGGCTATTGCACACGCAGCATGGTCCCTAACGTCAGCTGAGAAGAAATATAGTCAGATCGGAAAGGAAGCGCACGCAATCGTTTTCACCATGAAGCGGTTTCACAAGATGCTCTATGGCAGGTAGTTCACCCTCCTGACTGAACATGATCCATTGCTCTTGATATTCGGCGCAAGGAAATGAATTCCCGTGTTTACCGCGAATCGGTTACAAAGATGGGCGACTATACTGTCGGCGGACGATTCCAGCATACAGTATCCACCTACGCAACATATCGGCCGAGCGGATGCTCTGTCTCATCTCATCAACTCGCACTCAAACAAGGATGATTGTATGATCGCAACCATCAAGTTCGAACCAGGCGTCCTGCGAATTCTGACCGATAATATCGGATGAATACCGGTGATAGCTGACACTCTTTGCGCGCAGAATTTCCGATAAAAACCCGTAGAGAAAGTGATGCATTCCATGCAAACAGGTTAGCCGAACTTTGGTACCCCTGGTGACTTACGGCCTTTCTTCAACCGATTGAGTAACAGTCCGCTGTGGACAATTGTTTGATGTTTGGAGACCGGATGGTGGTGCCAAATTGAACAGGTAAGTCTTAAGGCACTTTCATGCCGGGCATCCGGCTACCAACCATATAAATGTCTTGGCACACAGTTTTGTTTATTGGCCCAGAATGGACGCAGAAATCAAACAATTCTGCCAAAAATGTGAATCCTGTCAACTGGCGGCAAAGGCCCTTCCCAAGTGCCCTGGCAACCTTAGCCCAAAACAGAGAAGTCATGGGAAGGAATCTATTTAGATTAAGCAGGACCAATCGCCGGTCAATCCTATCTTGTTTTGGTGGACTGTTTCTCCAAGCGACCCGATATGACCCGGATGCAAAGTACGACTGCCCAGTACATGCTCAACGTGCTGGATAAGCTGTTCCAGTATTTCGGCCTGCCAAAGATGATGATGACAGAAAACGGTACACAATTCACTTCAAGTTCCTTTTGTGAGTGGTGCAATGTGAAAAGAATTCAGCAGCTGTTCTCACCATCCCATCATCCGCAGTCAGATGGACAGGCGGAACGCTTCGTGGATACCTACAAACGTGCTCTTTTTAAAGAGGGACAAAACAAGGTTACAAACAACGGGATCCAGGGTTTCCTGTGCACCAATCGGGATGTGCCTAACCCAAACGCCCCAGATCAAAAAGCCCCTGCCAAAACTTTAGTTGGACGAAAGATCGGGACATTGTTCGATAACCTTGTACCAAGCAGGAAAGCAAATCATGGTAGTTGTCCAGTGGAAGATAATCTGACAGACAGGCTCTGCCATCGTAAAACTGGTGACATGTTGTTTGCGGGTAACTGCCGATGACCGAGGAAATGGTCAACAGGAATGGTGATCCGCAGAAAGAGCCAAGTCATTTAGGAGCTAATGGTAGGAAATGAGAAATGGGTCAGGCAAGCCAATCAGCTGAGGCCGAATCACGGCAAGACTCAAAGTTCCTCGGCACCACCATCTCTACCATGGCACGCTCTGCTAGACACGTTTGGTTTGGAGGAGGAAGATAAGAGGCTATGTGGATCACAGTCGAACCTGCAAGCATCAGCTGATACACAGCGCATGTCGACCCGAAAGCGGCGACGACCACAATGGCTGCAAGCTGATCCCAAAGCGAAAAGCTGTGAACAAAGTAGAGTTCGAACGGGACGCTGGCATACTCAATTCGAAACGGGAGGTAATAGAGTCATAAGCGGAGCACGTAAGCTGTCCGCTACATGCAAAGTTCATCAGCACAGGCGTGCCACGAGCGTTGACCTTACCGCTGAATTTGGGAAATACCAGCCCGCGTCAAAGGAATCCAACTATTTTGTCAATATGATAAACCCGTGGAGCGGAATTCACTCACACTGGCTGAAAACCAGACGCACAAGTGTGAGTAATCCAGACCACATAAATTAGCAGGTTTCTTTTACCAATACATAGAGTTAACCTATCCGGTAGATATACTCCGTGTCTACTGAGTTCTGCCCTTTTGTATTCCTTCGGTTGGCTGGGTGTGTGCCTGAGCAGTCAGACAGTGACAGTCTCCCAGGGCAGCAAAGCAGCAGTACAATAGTTTTCAGCTGCAGAGAGAAGAGGAAATGCAAGCTTTACTACATTAATGAATACGGTAAACGAGGCAACCTGCTTTTGTTGCTTTTTGTTTCCTCTGTTATTACCTAAATAAATTAAATCGAAGCATAGCAGCTGCGGTGTGTTTAGCTCGAGCTAATATGTAGATTGAATGAATGCTTTGTTGCTTATGACGATGACAATCTTCAGCATCAGTACCATTGCACAATTCGGAATCGATAAACATGCCTGAATACCGCAAAATTCATATCTTCGGCTTCCTTAATGTTACGCCTTCAGGCTTTAAAAGCTACCTTGCTCAATTTTGGATTCTGTGCTTGAATATCGGGATGTAGTGCTTGATTATGGCCGAGTCATTTAATGCGGCGTGCTCTGGACGAACTTGCACAAACAAGGAACGCAAGGTTGTAATCGTGTTAAATATAAATACCTGTAGTACTATAAAAGTTCGTTGAAGCGTTGTAGCGATGTTCGTTCTGAACGTAGACGATTCCCGGTATAAAATTCCATGCGAAATCTTGTAATATTTTTGGCTGCAGGGTGGGATATTCTCAGCATACATTATAAGTGTAGCTGTACTTTATTGTACTTTGAGCATAAGTAAAAGTGATTCTATTAACATAGCGGTTTACTCAGCAGAGTAAGTGAACATGAGAAGTTTTTGTTTCATGTATAACATGTGATGGGTTTTCCCCATCTAAATACATGCAGTAAACTCAGTTACCAGTAAGGTAGTTTTAATTGAATTTTTATATTTCTGTGCTAACCGTGCTTTTATGAAACACTATTGATAAGCACTTACCCAATGTGGTAAGTGCTTGCGGAAGCCGCATGTATAAGATCCATAGACCATCTTTATATTTGGTTAAGTTAGCACATGAACTAAAGGAATATTTTGTGTCTACTGAAATCCAGATTTATGACACAGTACTCGAGACAGAAGCAAACAACATTTGTAAACCCCTGTAAACAACCTTTGTAAACAACCTTGGTTGACGAAAAGACTTGAAGGCCGGGGAAATCATTCATTTGTAAGAGGCTCTGTCATAATGAAAATTCCGTCTGAATAAGCGAACTGATTTACATAAAATCCAATGTTGTTTCGGCTTCTTGATGGTACCTTTGACTAATATCCATCTGGTGTCTTTTTGGTCCCACTTATTGTCTTCTCGGTTGGCATCGCTGAGCACCGTATCAACTACTATTCGTTATCAACCCGTCATCCATGCGCGGAAGTTGAATGAATCTTTCGGTTGACGATGACTATCATCTCTGTTCTCAAAAGTGAAACTTGGTCATTTCGAACTTCAACTAACGTAGCCGGGCTCATATGAAGGAGGATTAGCTCACTCATTGGAAAATATCCGAAGTAGATCAAAGTAACTTACTTTGTTTAGTATCCCGTACGCAAGGGTATGTTCTAAATACTCACCGATAGATTGTGCCACATGATCACAAATGGTGTCAGGCAGTGGAGTCTGGTTAGGTTGCGTGCTTTGTCTACCGGTGGAAAATGGGACTGCAGATAGCAACAAGTATCTCATAGAGGAAAAAGTTTTCTTAATGACGCGGACTCACTTTTGGAACAGGTACCTTTCGTCGCACAGACTGAGACCCTAATCGTGCCCAACACTCCGGGTTTAGCAATCCGTCCCGATCACCTGAGTACTGTTCACTGCTCAGGGTGTATGTCTTCACATTGGCATCAATGGCACGCCGTATTCGGCGCTTCACCGCTTCGGCAACTATACGAAGGTTCAATAACGCACAAGTTATCCAGTATCGTGCAGTACATATGTAAGCTCATTTCTGTTCCGCAGCTCATGTAAACTCGAACACGTGCATGTAAATATAGATAGCAAAATCAGTTGGTACAAGAGACAGTTCCGGTGGTATTCGGTATGCCAACAATATTATGGGTCTAAACTTTCAAAATACCGTCTTACGACTTGATTTACTTTCAAAAGTATGAAAGCGGAAGAACCAATGAACATTTGGACATCAGCAGCAGCACTCCTAACGCATGCACCCTGTGGTTTTGAATCCTCCAGCGCAGATGTTTAGGTGAGCAAGGATTCTAACAAGCGTAAAGCACTCTCCGATGAGCAACCAAGGAGCGGGCGCGCTTGCAATGTCTTACATAAATGCGAAGCTTAAGATTTACACAAAAAACGCTAATAAGTGGCATATTTCTCGACAAATCGGGGCGCAGTCTAACTCTGTGGTTTGATCAAACAGATAACACGAAATAGTACAAAGCAGGGTACTGAAGGTTTTCAGCAGGGTTACAAAGGAATTAAGAGTAAAATGAAGTTGAATGTTACGACAGGATTGATAAATTGAGAGCGATAAGAAATGAAGACATGGCCTACTGTTCAATTAAACTAGTACGGCCATCAATGAAACCCTCTGGGATTTGGTTCAATGCAGGGTGTGCCCTCGAAAGCTTACGCCATCCCTTTCATCCCTCATTTAGCCGTGTGCTCGTTTGGCATAAGAGTGTGTATGCCAGCAGCACATTTACACATTTTTTGGGCTTCTTATATGCATAAGTTATGGTCTATCAAGTGATTTATCCCAGTATATTATTCGCATCAGTTCGAGCATGGCACCTTTTTGACGCCAATGAGTCAGTCACATTAAGCCTTTCTTGGGTATAATTGTTAGCATGAAAGCGTCAAACCATCACCTCAGGAAATCAGCCCAGCCGTAGACAACATAGAAATAAAAAATGAGACAAAGATGAGGATTAAACAAATTAAAACAGGTGCCTAATTGCTGCCATGCAGAGCATTTTCTGGCTGCCAAAGTCAGCAACATCGATGCAGCCCACAAGCTATCGCTGCCTCCACTGAAGGGAACTCAGCCTATCGGGGACAACTCTTATTGTGTCTACCAATTTGTAATTAACTACGGAAGCAGTTACATAAGCAGAACGGCTGGCACATTGAGTTCCCTGATGAAAGAGCACGTTGCAAAGTGGATAAAACACGAGACGGCTCAACAAGGTAAGCACAACTCAGTCTACACGTTTCCACAGATCGCCAGCAACTTCGATTCGCATTCGCTTCTTGATTTCAGACCACTGGATCGGGGTTAGGATGTCATTCAAAGCCCTGCTGCGTCAAACCAATTCGCATCTCCAACGGTTCGCTGAGACTGCTACACTAAGCCGGATCAGACCGGTGTTGTGTTTTCAGAAGCAACTATCGGTCAACCACAGGTTGCTTTTGACCTAAGAACATGAATTCCAAGTTTTCCATCTGTTTCTTTGCAGTATTTTATCACTCACTTTTGGAGCTGCTCCCAGGAGAGCGACTTGTTGACCTGACGACACTGCGATAATATGTGACAGCTCCGAAATTTGTCAAGCGGCACTCGACAGTATAGCACTGTCCGTCAGTCACTCCGGGCTTTGCTTCGCACCCTCAAAGTGCAAAGCTTTCCTCCAAGATTGGCCTGGACCGCCTCTTGCGCTGACCCCTGTCGGTGATCAGGTACTAGTCTTGCAAAAATTCCATGACCTGGGAAGTTGTATCAGCGCCCCTGGGATGGAAGGTGAGATCATGAACCGTATAGCTAAAGCTCGAGGTGCGTTTGTTGACCATCACCATCTATGGCGTCGGCGCGACATTACTCTCCACCTGAAAGGGAGAGTGTACAAGGAAGCCGTAGGTTCGACCCTACTGTATAGTTGTGAAACCTGGTCCATTAGATCAGCCGACAAATAGGGGCTAGTTACGTTGAACAACCGGCGCCGTCGCAATTTGGCTCATACCTGGTAGTAACACCATGTGAGCAACCAGCTTGTGCGATGTCTTGTTTATGGATAGGAAGAAGAAAAGAACTGCGCGGTACCGTTATTTCATGCGCCATGCTCAGGTGGCTCGGCCACGTGTTACGCATACAAGCCCACCGGCTTCCGCAACATGTGTTGTTTGCGCGTCGGAAGTGTGGATGGAAGAAGAGGAGAGTTGGCCAAGCGCTGACTTGGTCGACATAAATGAAGGCTCTCACTTCGTAGCTGGCTTCGGTTGGAGCGTCGTGGCTCGTCGCTCGGGTTCCGAGAGACGATGAAAACGTTTGCTTAAACACACTTGCTGGCATAGCTAGGAGCCGACCTCAATGGTGTTTGTGTTATGAGATTCTTTGTCCCTCCTCATCCCTCTTAGCCGCTCCAACCACGAACTGATTTCTTAGCATAATTTAGTTTTGCATACTAAATATTTTTGCTGGCTAGTAGCTTTCCGGTACGATGCCTATCCGTTACGGATGGTTCAGCTGGCATACATCCGTTGTACGTTTTTGTCTTTTAGGTATTGCGGCACAGTAATTGATGTGTTTTCCACCTCTAGCTAACGTGTATGATGAGGATGATTATTGCATCACTTAACAGCTGCATTTCATTCCTGATTATCGTTCTACACACTGAAGAGAAGATACCAAATGTGTGCAACTGTGAAGCTTCGTCTACTCATTGGGCTTTTTAAAACAGATACTTGGGCTCACAAGAATGTGAGACCTCGCCTGAGGAACTTTTAAGTCAAGACCGAAAGGTCGTGCATTATAACCTGTCGAATACCAAGCCTTCTGACAAAGTAATACATTCTTTAGTATACGTAAGGTGTTTTGACATGCCGTAACGCTTGTCGGAGCAAATTCTGACAAAAAACGTAAATGGCTGCATCTATGTTTCTTGTCAAATGGTAATTCTCCAGGGTTTAGTTTGGAAGGAGTTACATGCCAAAAATAAGAGCAGTTAACGAGAAATATTTGGATTGTGCACCTGGTATATTACAGTGAGTACCGGAAAAAGCAACCTTATTGTAGGAAAAACGCTAACAGTGGATAAAGATGAATAAAGGGATTGTGCAACACTTCATTAGCCGGTCTTGATATTAGCGAACCGCGCTGACATTACATTTGACTTGGTTTCAGCTGTCCTCACCATTGTCGTGCACATTATATGTCAAACTGCCCTTTTGCAATAGGCCCTCTCTTCAGTTAAGTTTATTTTGGATAGATCAACTGCTTTGTCTATCATGCGGAATTTGTTTATTCGATCACGGAATACATGCGGGAACGCACAGGAACTTGCAGACAAAGGAGGCCTGTTCCAGATAATTGCATATTTATTAAAGAAGAACTCTGAGCGTATTTTAGTGCGCCACTTTAACTCTGGCAGAGTGAGTTCCTCTTTTCGTATTTCGCAACGGGATGTGTGTTGTAATTGAAGAGAATAAGTCGGCCCAAAATCTTTTGGATGTATCACAACATAAACGAGTGACAAGCCTTCTGAACCAAATCGGGTCAAGCTTCAGCATTATGTAGCGTTCTGGGCGCGTAGTTCTGCTAGTAGAACCAAGAATTAATCTGGTAAAAGTACCTTGAATGATCTCCAGTGCCAATGTACCGCACTGACGTGCGGTACAGTAAGCTATGGTACAGTACTCTACCATTGAGTGTGTACACATTTTGAACAAAATAAGCTTAGCAACGGTTGAATCAAGCAGTCCGAGGAACCTCGCATTTTTCACCTTAGCCTTTAGAACTGTATTCTGTACAGGTTGTGTGAAGTTCAAAATTTTGGAATAATATAATCTTAAATCACCGTCTTCAGTACCACAAGTAAGCATTGTCCAAAGTAAGTGGGCTAGATCAAAAGTCGCGGCGGTATGAAAGAATGCGGCTCTTTTCAACTGAGAAGATCATTTTTTATGTGGGGCACCACAACGCAGGAGAGTTAGATTATTTTGTACGCTGCAAAGGGCAGCTTACTAGCGTGCCGAATAGAATGTGTATATAAGTTTAATGTCAACAGTGAACCTGTTATTGCGACTATGGGAACTAAAAGGAAAACATCGCTGTTGTATTAGAAGAAAGTAGATGTAACAGGAGTGTATTGCAGCGGGCACGTAGGAAATAAAACTGCCCAGAACCAGAAGGCACTCAAGTTAGAAGTCCGTTAACCGATTAATCAACGTTGAGCGCAGTTAACCTAATCAGGATAAGCCTAGGGTAGCGAATCACGACACCACTCCCCTAGTCGGAAAACGTACTTCATGCTGGTTGTTATCCCTCAACTGCCTCTTGTGTACGGCTGGAATTGCGTCCTTCAGAGGTCGGTGGAGTTTCACACGTAGCTTGAATAAACCACGAGGCCGGTCCAGCTGCTCCGTAAAGCCAACGGGCATTGACTATCAAGCCATTTTCCAATCGATATGTGCCAGTTTCACATGTATGTGTGATTCACTGCTGCGCAGACAGAGTTTGGTGACCCTATACGGTACTTCTAATTCTGATCAGAACAACTGACCGCGGCTGCAGTGGAATTAAGGTTTTAGCATAGGATTGTTGATAGGTTGCTATGCGGTTTGGCATTTCGTGATTTACAGAAAGGGATACGTTGCGTGCATCATTAAATTTGGTGCGTAAGGGTCTTCCTAACGTCAGTGCAGCAGATGCTTTCCCTGTGGCTCTGTGTTCACAGATTTTGTATGACGGCACTGCCTTTAAGACACCTACTTCCCACTCTACCCTTCCTATTGGAACGGTTAAGACGCTATATCATGCCATTGTCTGCAGGATTGTAGTGTGCAGTCCAGGAATGTTTTACGTTATGTCGTTGGAGGGAAGTTTCGAATTCGTAACTACAGAATTGGGGACTAGTATCCGTACTTACTTCGTTTGGTAATCCGAAGCAAGGGTACAGGTGTCTGAGCCATCACAGCACTACGGAGGAGGT